TGTTGCTTCGCGATTCTGGCTTTGGGAGGCCTGGATGGCCTTGTCATTGTCGGCTGCCCAGCCCTCAGGGAAAGAGAGCATCAGTTGCACCATCGGACACTCGGACTCTCTGCCGAGCCGCAAAAAGCTTCGAAACCACCTGCCAGCTTTTAGCTAGTCCTGCAGATGCGCACCTTCAACTTGAGATCTGGAGGATTCAGCATGGTCGGCAAAGGGAAGTCCACCACACTGCCGTCGTAGTCCCTGCGCTGTTGGTTGCGGGTGCTGGTGTCCGTAGTCTTGCCTTTCACCCTGCGCCTACAGAGAAAGGCTTGACTAGGGCCTGTCTTGACTCGCTTGCTTTCGCTAGCAGCCGCTTCAAGTCTCTTCGCCTGAAGGGCAGGCGGCCCTCGGTGCCAGAGCCAAAGCAAAGGATGTCGCCTTTCTGCATGAGAACCACCTGAATGATTCAGGTTGAAGGTGCAGAAGTGGATGGATTTTGCCGGCGCTTTCCCCAGGCTCGAGCTGTGTGCAACGGGCCAGCAGCGATCTGGTAAACCTCGGAACCGCATCAGCTCGATGATTCGATCCCGGCCAAGCCCTCAAGATGCATGGACGCTACAGCAGGGGTCGTCTTGCAGGATGGCTGCGACGTCAAATTCAACCGTGTCCAGCAAAATCCCAAAGTCCTACTGTTGTGTCTGTATGTTCCAGATCTTCGTCTCGTGCTCGCTGTTTCTGTCTAATTGCTGAGCACACTGCGGGATCACGCGACTCTAGCTTCACCTGGCCGCGAAGCATGCTTGTCGAAAAGCAGGGATAATCGGTTACCTAGAAGTCAGAACACAAGCGACACTGTACACTGCTTCGCCGTAAGGTACATGTACTGAAAAACACAAGAGGCGAGCGAGAGAGAGGAGAGAGATAGATAGAGCCGGGCAGAGAAGTGCTGCTATCTCCTCACTTCTGGCTGTTCACTCATTCCTCTGGTGGCCTGCCGCGGCGTGGGAATCACCTCCCCGACATCGAAGCCAGTGGCGGCACCCTTCCCCCAAGTGTAAAGCTGCCCTTTGACCGACCTGCAGTGACAGCTTCGGAGTCTGAAGGCTCTATCGCACCGTACTGAAAACATGTCATGACGGCAGCTCAACTCTCTGGACGCATTCGAGGCCAGGGCATCGTGACAGAATGCATCAGCCCCAGTGCGACCTGGCTTTGCACGGGTCAACAGAATTTGCAGGAGCACACATGCACAACTCCACCGTTGAAGCCACACGCATGTTGCTGCGGTGCCTGCGACATGGACAGGCCAGACAAGCTCTCCACGCCTTTGCATTCGGCGACATGCCCAGCAGTCAAACGAAGCACCAACTTCAAATGCCATCTTCTTGGAGAAGAAGATTTTCCAGAGGTGTTGAAAAGTCCTTCCCCACCACCCCTCCACACACACACACACACACGCACACACACACACACACACACACACACACACACACACACACACCCGCGCGCGCGCACACACACACACACAAACACACACACACACACACACACACACACACACACACACACCGCGACCGGCGCGCACTTTGAATTAGCAAAAGCAGTAACAGCAGCAGTAGCAGTAGAAGCGGCGGTAGCGGTAGTAGTAGCAGCAGCAGCAGCAGTCGTCGTCGTAGCAGTCGCAGCAGTCATAGCAGTCCAGGCAGTAGTAGCAGCACAAGAAGCCATAGCAGCACCAGCAGCAGTAGTAGAAGAAGCTGGCGCAGCAGTAGCAGTGGCTGCGGCATTAGCAGGTCGTAGCAATGGCAGCAGTGCTAGCAGCGGCAGCAGCGGTAGCAGTGGTATCGGTGGTAGCAGTGGTAGCGCGGTGAACAGCAGGAGCGGTAGCAGCAGCAGCAGCAGCGGTAGCAGTAGCTGCGGCAGCAGTAGCTGCGGCAGCAGTAGCTGCGGCAGCAGTAGCTTGCAGTCGTATCAGTACCAGCAGTACTAGTACTAGCAATACTGGCAGCACTAGCAGACTCGCAGCACTAGCATTGCGAGCAGTACGAGCAGGAGCAGCAGCAGCAGCAATAGCAGCAGGAGTAGCAGTAGGAGGAGGACGAGGACGAGGAGGACGAAAAGCAGCAGCGGGAGGAGTGGGAGGAGTGGGAGGAGCGGGAGGAGCGGGAGGAGCGGGAGGAGCGGGAGGAGTGGGAGGAGTGGAGGAGTGGGAGGAATGGGAGCAGTGGGAGGAGTGGGAGTAGCAGGAGCAGCAGGAGTAGCAGGAGTAGTGGAGGAGCAGGAGGAATCGAGGAGGCGCAGGAGGCTTAGGAGTCGTAGGAGTAGTAGGAGTAGTAGGAATAGGAGGAGTAGTAGGCGAGTAGGAGTAGTAGGAGTAGGAGGAGAAGTAGGAGTAGGAGTAGGCGTAGGCGTAGGAGTGTAGTGGGAGTGGGAGTAGGAGGAGGAGTCGGAGTAGGAGTTGAACTGAGTCGGAGGAAAGGGAAGGGGGGGGGCGGGACAGGGGAAAGGGCGGGGGGCTAGGGCTGCCGGAAAGGGGGGAAGGGGCGAAACGGCTTCGTGTCCGCTCCTAGCCTCGACTACGAAGCGGCCTCGCGCTGGCGATAAAATTAGTACTAGTCGTACAAGTGCTAGGTCTGGTGTTCTCAGTCGTTGCCAGTGTAGAAATAACGGAAGTAGAAGCAGTTTAAGAAGAAGCCACCCCTCCTACTGACCCCCTGACACTGGCCGCTTCTGCCGGAAACAGGTTGCGGATAGTTTACGCAGATGCGAGACCATGCGCGGAACTGGGATTGAAGCCACGCTTGAAACCCTACGTACTGTGGTACTAGAAACCACTGCAAAACACGGCTTGGCCAGCTCAAATCGGCCGAAGGTAGCTCTGGCAGACTCAGCTGAATGCGCGCAGGGCTTGGCATGTCGGTGCCGACCCCGTGGCCACAGCGCCTCGACTGACGCCATGTCACAAGTCAGAATTTAACCTTTTCTGTGGCAGCTTGCTGAATTTCCCTGCCCCTGCAGCCTAGTTGCCCAAAGGCTCCCTGGCCCCAAGTGTAGAGCCCGCCCAGCTGATCCACAGCAGCGGTGTGGGCCTTTTCAGCTCAGGAGAGGCATCATGGAGTTTCTGTGTCAAGACATCTGGCACCCAGACCACAGGTGCCTCACCAGCGGCGACATACGTGATGTTTACGCCCTGCAAGCTCGTAACCAGCCTGTCGAATGCCAAGGCGGATCCCAACATCGGGGCTGGGAAGTAGAGCTCGACTACGGGAGAATAAGGATATCCAGGGTGCTGACCAGAGCCCTTTTCTGTTCCGCGTTGGGGCTGTTTGGTCAGTGACATGGCACCAGATAGGGCACCAGGCAATCACGCGAAGGGATCCTCGAAGTGCTCGTCTACTAGCTGCTCCTTTGAGCTCTCAGCGGGCTCCTCTTTGGTGCCTGGCTGTCGCTCGATGATTTGGCCCAGGTGCCTCGCAACACTTGACCGCAAGCATGGCTTTGAACCGCGACCCCAGCAGCTCAATGCATCATGGCATTCTGCAGCTTCGCGGCGAGATCTCGCTGAGCGTCGCCGCTTCCTCTGTTTCGAGCTTCCGCTTGCGCGCAGCATCGCCCTGCGGCCATGAGACTCTCAGGACCTAGTGGTGAACACGTGTGAACACTAAAGCACCGCACAAGTGAAAGTACTGGCCTTCAGGTGAAGAGAGTTGCTCCAGGTGCGTGCCAAAAGTGCCGCCTTCCACACTTGGAGAAGGAACCGCTGCAAGGTTACACAAGAAACCAAGCCCTGCGCCTCCCCTCGGAGTTCGGGATGCTCCATGGCACGGCTGGCCGCCAAAGGAGCGAGATTCAGCGAAACCACTTCTGAGCGGCTGAGCGGCAGCAGCCTTGGAGCCCAGCAGCCCTAAACCCTGGCAAAGCGTCACTAAAACCCTCAACGTCAACTTTCTCGCCGAGCGTCCGCAGCACCACCAAGCAGGCACGCAGGCACTCGGTCTCTTCCTGGCTGGGACTGGGGCATTTGCAACGGAAACCTCCGGGAGCGAATCCCTGAGCCCTTCTCCGTCTCCTCTTCTGAGAGCCACTTCCGAAGGAGCTCCAAGCCTCCCAACTCCTCCGCGTGTGCCGCATTCCGCGAGGCTCCGCGAATTCCGCATTTGGCAAGGCGCGGGAAGGCGCGGGAAGGCTCGGCCCTGAGCGTTGCAAGGCCAAGGAGCCAGGAAGCGGGAGAGGCGGCCGGAGCTCGGATCTAATTGCCGCGCCTCAGCTCTTCGAATTCGGGGGTTACTGGAAGAATTGCTGTGCTGAAAAGTGTCTCGTGGGTCCCGGAACAAAAACCGCGCCACAGAAATTTTGCTGGAAGTCTTGACTCAACCAGGGGATCTGGGAAGTGTGAAGCTTCACTTCTTCTCGTACCTTTATGCTGTCTGCGCTTCCGGCTCACTAAACCTGAAGAGGCGGAGCCTTCGGCATCGTTCTTGCGGGTCATCTTCGGAAGCGTGTCGGGTGTCTTGTGAATGTAGCCGTGCTGCTCTGCATGCCACCACACGTCTTTTGGCACCCAATCAGAACTGTGCTTCCGACGTGTTCAACAAATACGACGATCGAAACACTACTGCAGACCACCCATCCCTGTAGCTGTTAGCACTGCCAGATTGCCGCCATAACATCAAAATCCTTTACGGCTAATTGGGCCCCAATCATTCGACCTATTGCTGTGTCTGCTGGCATTCTTGAGCTGTTGCCGTGATGCGCGGCCGCCGTCACGCTCCGCCAAACCTATCTTTCGCGACGTCTACCTCGAGACATCTGCAATTTGCAAAGCTGCCTGAGATTTACGATGAAATGCGTTTCGTGGACTTCGTTTATTCACGTAAGACTCAGAGTTGTTTCACCGGTTTCGCTTCGGGGCACTATGTGCGCTGGCAGGTGTGCAGCAAGATAACTTTGCAGTCGCAGGGGCCGTCTTCTGCAAGGCCTCCAAGAGAACGATGCGCTCTGCTGGAACGGCGGCCCGATCAGCTGCCCCGAGCCATGCCTTCATTGCTGCTTGGAACAGAGCGTTGTGAAAAGCATGTTGGGTCGAGCAGCAATGTTCAGCGGCTAGGTAGCAGTCGGGTGGCAGTAGCAGTGGTAGTAGACGTCGTCGTCGTCACTGCCGTAGCAGCTGTTCTTCTTGTTGTTGCTGCTGCTGTTGCTGTTGCTGTTGCCGTTGCCGTTGCCGTTGCTGTTGCCGTTGTCGTTGCTGTTGCTGTTGGTGTTGTTGCTGCTGCTGTTGCCGCTGCTGTTGCCGCTGCTGCTGCTGTTGTTGTGGTTGTTGTTGTTGTTGCTGTTGTTGTTATTGTTGTTGTTGTTGGTGGTGGTGGTGGTGGTGGTGGTGGTGGTGGTGGTGGTTGTGGTGGTGGTGATGCTGGTGATGCTGGTGATGCTGGTGATGCAGGTGATGCAGGTGATGCTGGTGATGCTGGTGTCGCTGGTGTCGCTGGTGTCGCTGGTGTCGCTGGTGTCGCTGGTGTCGCTGGTCGCTGCTGCTGCTGCTGCTGCTGCTGCTGCTGCTGCCGCTGCTGCTGCTGCTGTCACTGTCGCTGTCGCTGGTGCTGGTGCCGGGTGCCGGGTGCCGGGTGCTGGGTGCTGGGTGCTGGGGTGCTTGGTGCTGGCGCTGTCGCTGTTGCTGGTGCTGCTGCTGCTGCTGTTGTTGCTGTTGCTGTTGCTGCTAGTGATGTTGTTGTTGTTGTTGCTGTTGCGGTTGCTGTTCTTGTTGATGTCGTTGTTGTAGTCGTCTGCCTAACGAGTAGGGGTCGACTTCTTCAAGGCAAAACATTGGAAACTTCGACCGACGATGTCAGAGCTCGTGCTAGACTGCTCCCACTTAGATGTCTTACAGGCGAAACTCTTATCGAACCCCTCCTGAACTGATGGATTTTCAACAAACCGTGAACCCTGATGCCGGACTGCTTTGTTTGCTTGTTTCTGGCGGGGAATTGATGGACTTCTGGATAAGCCTCAAAGTTTGAAAGTCGACTGTGGTTCCCGTGCTGGGCAGCCAGGCGCCGGTATGAAAAGGCGGGTTTGGTGCCTATGCTTGACGTCCTAAGAAGCGGATAGCAATAAATAGGGCTTTGATGCAAACAGGCGGTTGTCGCCTGTGCCGGGTTTCCCAGGTTGGCATGACTCCAGAACGATTGTAGAGTCATGCACGATCCCCGCATCCCGTAAGAAGGCGTTGCAGATTCGACCCATGAAGGAGGCAATAACCTAAAGTGACGCACGACCCTGCCACGCAAGCTTCGCAACGCCTTCGGGAAATGATTCTAGAAAGCGCAGACGCAAGCTCCAGCCATGCTCCCCCAGTGCCGAACTGATCCCAAGCGTGTGCTGGATAGTCAATGGAGGTGCCGGCATGGCCCCACCGCGCACGACCCCGTCTTCCAGGAAGGAAAGGGCCGGTTCCTGACAAAAGGCTGACACAGCAATAAGGTAATCTGGTGTATGTGGAGAAATGGCGAAACAAAGGACAAAAGGCGAGCATGCTGATAGTGACAAAAGCCACGTCCTGCTGGCGAGAGGATGCCGCATCTGCGTGGCTGGCAATCGCTTCGGCCTGTCCGAGCCAGAAGGTCACAAGCAAAGCGTGACTTCCGTTCCACCGTCGATTCAGATGATTGCAAGCCATGCTTCACGCCTTCCTGGTATACCCCTCCACCTACTGGAGTGGTCCCATGAAGCTGTGCAGTCAACCGGAACTGCTGGAGCTCCTGGTGTCCATTGCTGATGGCAGCACTCGCGGACCTGCACCCGACATGGGAGGCTTGAGTATGTCCATGCCATACCGTTTGTGGCTACAAGTGGCCGTGCCAGTCTTGGACGAGGTCAGCTTCGCATAATCGCATCTCTTTCTGAGGGCGTGGCTTGTCTTCCAACAGCTGAGCACCTTCAGCATGAGCTGACGTGTCAGGATGCACGATGACTTTCGTAGCTCGCAGCTAGCACTCTAGCACACTCCCAGACGAGGCGGCTACAGCACTGCACGCCAGAGAGCCCAAGAGATTTCCCGCTGTCCGGAACGATTATGCAGGCCTGGACCGAGCTCTTGACGCCAGCGTGCCTTACGGCGAAGCCTTGCAGCACTGGCTGTATGTGCGTTCGTCAACGCAAAGCTCTTCGCTGAGCTCACCCCACCTCGCTCCTAACAACTGTGCGAGGACGGCCGTGAGCAGTGACCATAACCCTGTGGCCTTGCCTCAGGAAGTGCTGAAAAAGAACATCCTCGTCAAGCTCCTGTCCACATCCCTGTTCCCGTTTATCCTGCGACCCTTCTCTGTCACTGCTCAGATCCTGGGAAGCGAGTCCTGTTTCAAAATGATCTGCTGGTTCTGCTCCGAGGATTTTGCAGCAGGCATATCGGCGCCATCTGGATGTCAGACCCCCTCAAAGACTGCGGCTTGACGGCTTCATGCGCAAAGACGTGACTTTCTTAAAAGTAACGGCGATCCAAGATCAACGGCATTCACATTTTGCAGTGGAGAGAAGCATCCACGGCGTCTTCGCTAGTCATGAAGAACAACCACCATGCAGGATCACGCGCTGAACGGCTGGACTTGGGCGACACTCAGCTTGCTCGTGCAGACAGAGGCACATGAATGAAATAACGAGCATACCCCTTGAGTGTTTCAGCAGGCTGAAGGTGTGGCAGTGTGTGGGCAGCATCCAGCTTTGTTGCTCTCGGCGGCTTCCGCCCTCAATAGCTCCGCACAGAACTAGCCAAGAGGATTTCATCAGAGAACTTACCCTTGGAACAAAGACATGTGTGACATGTAGACCACTTACTGACTCGGGAAATGCGGAGGCTTCCAGCAACTTCTCCTGGAAGCCTCCACGAGTGCTGGCCCCAAGAAGGCCGTAATTGACCCAGCCGCAATGCGGCGTAAGGAGAAATTACGAAAGAAAGTATTCAGGTCTGTCTTTTCGAATGCCAACTAACTATACTCAACGCCAGCTGCTTTTGGACCACATCACGGCGGGTCCGATGTGTGCCATGCACAGTTCACGAGCTTTCAGGCTCTGAATTCGAGTTAGCGGTGCAGCGTCTTCTCTGTGTGACTTGAAGTGACTTTCCGAACGATAAGACCATGCGCTGTGATAGAGTCTCAGAGAAGGCTGCCAGGTCGCCATGGGCCGCGGAATAAACCAAGATCTTGTGAAACAAACAGCGGCTCTGCCGAGGAGCTCAGAAGCTCAAGCACCTTGCAAAATCAGCAAGGAGGCTGAAGCGCTACACTTTAGACGGTCCTTTCAAACTTTCCCTCAGTGGCAAGTGCCCTTGTTGGCCAGACAACCCTTCTGTCGAACAGCTTTCGGACGAGCTGAGCGTTGGACTTGGGTAGACCCTCCACGATTCCTGGTGCTCGCTGTTGCCGTGCGATTGCCTTCATCGCAGGATGAGCCTCTTCCTCATCCTCCTGACAAATTCTCGTGGCAGCTCTCAGAAACATTAAATGAACAACTTGGCCAATCAATGACAGCCGCTCCTCATCCGGGGGCTTCTGAAGCGAAGCCTCACGAGTCGAGGAAGTGCCGCTGCGGACCAGAGGGCAAGTTGTTCGATTGTACTGCAAGTTAGACGCGGCCGCACTGTACTTAGAACCTGTGGTTCAGAACCGTGCTCTGCAAAGACACACCTTGCCTTCGGTGAGTGGAAATCATCCTCGTCAGACTCGGGTTCGATCCATGTCACAGACTGCTCCAGCAGGTAGCTGAGGCAAACCTTTGAGCAATCCCCGCAGGCATTTGCGATTTGCGGGTCGTGAATGGAGCTGCCTGCAAGCCGAACATCGCCTCTCTCGTAATTGGCACATACCTCACCCTTGAACCCAAGCAGCCCCTGGCTGGTGCAGAGCGGGTGGCACGGTCAGACCGCCAATCGGTCGAGGCATCGCACTCTACGGTTTCATCCACCTCCTGCCGAGTGCAATTGCGACACTCTTAGACTCGGCAACAACACTGGATGGATGTCTCTGCGTCAAGGAGTATCGAAGAGCCTCCACTAGCAAACTTCTCCTGGCCACTAGTTTTCCTGCTGGTGCCAAGGGAGGCCATGTGTCGTTGTCAATGCAGTCCCTTAAGCACGATGGTACTCTCTAGGTCACACTTAAATTGAATTTGTCTTCGGCATTCGACTTTCCATATTGGTCCGGTCGTTCTGTGGGAACGAGTTTGGGAAAAGAGGCGTTTAGGACCGGCAAGGCGGCAAGCCTCAGGGCCCAGTGCCAGCGCCTGCTGCCGGCTGTGTGCCTCGCGGCCTCCAACATCTCCGGAGACACAGGCTGTCACAAGTTGTTAACCTTTAGCTTTACTTTGTTGCTTCTTTGTTGGCTCTGTTTGGCACAGGGTTCCCGGCACAAAGCAAAGGATGAAACTCCTGTGAACAAAGCTGGCACTGTTAAGAACTGCAAATCCCTGCTATGCAGTTGGCCACAATTATTGAATATCGTGGTATCATGTTCCCAGCACCGACGTACGCCGCTTCTTCGCAGGAGCAGCGACGACATGTTGCAGACTAGCAATACTGGATCTGCTGGGCTCCTAAACCTTCTCAAGAGGCTCGACGAGCACTAGCAGTGGGCAAGAAATCAGCGATAAACTTTGATCCCTCGTCTCGAACGAAGACATTCAAGCAAATGCCGCTACTCTCCACTGGTGACCTACTCCTTCTGCCACATCTCAAACGCCAACTCAGCTTGGGCAACAACAAGTGCTCACCGTCACCCAAAACTGAACCGAAAAGAAAAGCCACTTTGGAAAACCAAAGCCTGCGTGGAAAGAGCTGCGAACTGCTGCCGGCGGCTCGGGTCCACGAGTGCCGAGCTCCAACCTGAGAAGCGGAAGCTGCGGGCCCCTCTCTTTCTGCCCTCTCGCCTCTCGCTGCGGCCGAGGCACAAGGCGATGCGCGCCAGGCGGAGCCAAGCCTCGGCGAGGCGGCGCCCGCCAGCGCCGCCGCAGACGCCTGCAGACGTGGCGAAACGAAGGCGCGAGCAGGGAGACACACAAGCCACAAATGTCGGACCCCTCAAAAAAACTCCTATACCTCCAAAATAATATCGGGTGCGTGAACTTCGTTCCTGTGCCTCCAGCATCAACCTGCTGTTGGCACGGCCTGAAGAAAGTGCAGGTCGATCTGGCTCAGATTGGCTCAGTCCCTCTCACGTGCCGTGTGCCGTGGACGTAAAGAAGGCATATCGTCTTGGGAAGCCCAGTGGCGCAAAACGGGGCGAAGCATCCCCTGGCTGTGGAGAGAAGTCCAGCTCCACCTGTGCAAATCGACTTCTCCACGTGTCCCCTCGCAGTTCCAGAATCAATCGCCTCGTCCTCCGCCTCATGGCACCCTGCGCAGAAGGTAGAATTGCCGCTTGCGGGGAAATACTTCATGCATGGTGCTCAGCCCACTGGCTGAAGGCAGGCCTTCTCCGCGAGGGCTGCACTGCTGAATTGCAGCCTTCGCACATGACCTAGGCATGTGAGTCCACACAAAAACCTGAACATAGTGCACGGCACGGCTTAGGTTCAGCCAAGGTACACAGACCGCTTTCCTTACTGAGCATTGTTGCATAAACACTGGCTTCCTGGAAGATGCCCCTGGTGCGGCTGCCCAAAAACAGGATGCTAAATAAGGCTGAAATGACTGCGGGTACCATCACTTCCCAGATCTCAGGTCTGCCAGGGCTCTGATGGGTGCAGGTGTCTTGGAGGGAGACCTCAAGCATGTCGGACTTGGACTCATCTGGGAGGGATTCTACAGTCGAGCTCGAGCTGAGCGCATGGCTTTCTGGCTCACTGTACTTCGAAGTGCCACAAACGAAAGAGACTGAGGCCTGAGGCAGTGGCGGTGTCCTTGTGGGACATCGCGGGATCAAGGAGCCCCTTGTGGCTGCAGCGACCTTGGAGGTCAAAAGTAGCTGAACAACGAGAGCTGCTGTCTCTTAGTTGGCCACAGTGCAAGGCCAGATTTCAGAGAACGAGATGAAGCGCTCTTGCGACGGGTCAACTCGCTCGGCCTGATACAGAGCAAGGTCCAAGTGGCCACCTGCTTGACGGGCAAGCCGACCGGAGGGCGTGGAGGGTGATTGCCTCGGCAGACGCGCTGGGGCGCTGGGGCTGCATCTCTGACAGATTTCCTGGCACTCAGCAATACAGGCTGAAGGCGAGCCAAGATTCGAGGCACGGAGGGCTGCCGCGGGCTTACGACCTCCTTTGACGGACACAGCGTCCGCACGTGGAGCTGAGAAAACGATCGCATGGCTGTGCATGACATGGCGTGTCCGGCTCCTCGGGCATCCGCACCCCTGCTACAGCAGCCGCAAGGTCGAAGAACCTGTTGTCAACTGTCAGATTCTACGGACTTCCAAGTGGTGCCGTGAATCGGGCCATAACTTCGTTGGCCCTGCCCCTAACAGCCAAAAGTCTTTGCCTTTTGTTTGGCCTTGTGGGCTAGACGGCTGGAAGTGCCGTTTTAGGGGGAAGCAAGGAAGCAGGCAAAATCGATCGGCGCAGTTCACGAACCTGGAAGTAGTCGGCTTCCGCTTGCCGCCGACCGCCGCCGCGCCCGAGCCCGCTGGGAGATGTCGCATGGCTGTGGAGCAGTCAGAGGGACCCCAATGTTCTGCCGATCAACTTGGCCTGACAGTCCAAAGCACTTGAAGTCCCTGAGTTTTGCTATCGGAGCCCTGAACCATTCGCGTGCACGTGGTTACCGTCCATGCCAGGAACTGCCGAATCCAACTTGGCCTGGGTCATACGCCAAGTCCTGCTAGCTGAGTGAAACAGCATCTGGAAATTCCGCGAAGAAGTCGAGTCAACTGACGTGAGCTGGAAATACCCCCCCGCGTCCCCACTAGCGGCGCCTTGGCTCGAATTCCGCACTGTAGGAGTTCCTTTCAGCAGCAGGCGATGCGCGCAGCAAAGATGAGAAGAGCGCTGGACACGTCACAAGACGGCAGCACCCTGGCCCTGAGCTCTTGACACAAACAAGATCAAACAAGCCCACTCGCATTGCAGTGGCGAAACAAGGCCCTACCATTCGGAAAATGTACCGGCTCTGGTGGTACCATTCGCCCCAACACGCATGAAAGCCCTGTGCTTGGGGCTGGGCTGGCCGCGGATCTCGCACAGGGGCACAGGGGATCAACCAAGCGCATTTCAGAATGCAAACAGGAAAACAGGCCAGCTGTGAGGGACATAGGGAGTGTCTACGCGGCAGGACATTGCTGAATGTCTCGCAGTCTCCGCTGCGCCCAGCCTTGGCCTGACCAAGCCCAAGCCTCCCGTGCCCGCCGTGTCCCCACGTGAAGACCTCGGCTCTGCGAAGCTGCGGGGCGTTTGTCGGATGTCTTCTCGGGTTGCAGGTGCGGGGTTACGCGCCGGGAACTGATGTCGAGCGAACCACGTCACTGAAATCACGGACACTCGTTCAGCAGGAATGTTTTTCCATCATTCGGCACAGACAATCTTGTTCTGACTAGCTCGTCTTGAGCCAGTAAGTTACAGCAATCACATTCTATTTTCAGCAATACATACAGAACTGGCTGACTTCACATGTGGGCCACAAGACCCGATTCGATGCACAATCATGCTGTGTTAGATACGAGTGCGTGTTGTCACAGCAGGGGCCGGCGCCCTGCATCATGGCCACGCTCGCACTTCAACGGCGCTTGGCTCCGAGTTCCTTGCACTGCCGGTGGTGGTCAGTGCCACGGAATGCTTGGTTCCTGCAGCAACCTGACAGGCAGCGTGTCTCTATGTCTATGACAGAACAGATGCAGCCGGAAATCGTTCGAGTCTGGTTTGTGACCGCAACCTATGTGCCAACAGTCAGCTACCATTCTCCGCGAGAACTTACAACAAGCCACACGCAACCCTCAGTGGGCAGCACCTGGTACACGGAAACCACTCGCCTGCCATTCAAGGTGGCTCAGGCAATGCCGCTGCGCTCGCGGAGGTGATTCAGGGCGCAAGGGCGGGGCACGAAGCTCTTAATTCTGCCCCAAATCCCCCTGTCGAAAGAAGTGCCTGGCCTCTGCGCCTCTGCGTCCTGCACAAGGAGGCATAGCGGCGAGCTCGGCACTACGTATGTGGATCGAGATACCAGCGTCGTGCCGAAGCCCTCCCTGTACAAATGGCGACGAAGTGCGCCAGGGAGAAAGTCATCAACAGAGGAATGACACAGTCTATCGAAAAAGCCTAGCGAGAAGGCCAAGACTGAAAGTCTAGACAAAGAGAGCGAGGATCGGGAAAGGTAGGCCCCCGGTAATCAGGGACAAAGCCCCGAATCACGGACAGTGGCCTCTTCTGGAAACCACACTTCGGTGGGAGTGAAACCTCAGCTCGAAGTTCTGCACGTTCTTAAGACCTCAGCTGGGCCTTGACCTTGGCTACGTCACAGCACCGCTGCTTTTCCGAAAGTTGCCGAAAGGCTCGAATCCTGCACTCTAACTTCTTGACGACGAACGCTCATTCTCGGGAAGCAACAGTCGGCCCAGGATCCGATCCCCAAGGCGCCGTAGCTTCCTTGGCCCAGACTTTGCTTTGGACATGCGTCCCCTAGCTGCTTTAAACGCTCTAAGATTCTAAGATGTCGGACACGCACAAATCGCTGCCCCGTGCCCGCTTTCTTCCTGCATTTTTCGCCCCTCGCGCTTTCGCCACGGAAGTCGGCGAAGCGTGCCGCAAGCTCTCCATTGCCAAGGGCCCGCAGGTGAGCCTTTCGATGCTTGTGCTGAGCTCCGCTTAGCTGCCACTAACCTTCCGACACACAGAGCCAACACTACACCTCCCTTCAAAGACATACTCTCTAGGACTCTAGGAGAAAGGAGGGAAACCTAGAGTTGACTTCACTACACTAGGAAGCACCACTGGCTGCGCGGGGTTGCCCAGTCCTTGCATGTCCAGGACACATAAGCAAACTTGTCAAGGTGTCCCTCACATCATCTTTCTAGCGAAACCCCAAACCTGCTTCTGCCATACTACACCTGTGCTTCGGTCCGGCTTTGCAGGATGAATCTGTTCATTCCGGGTTGGGCAATTGTTTGGACGCCCGGTTCATGGCATGGCGTAGGTTTTAATTTCAGCTTCTTCATTTGCTAGCCATAAGAGCATTTTTCGAGCAGACCCTGTAGGATGCAACCTGCTCAGCCACGGCACCTTGTTGCGAAGGAGAAGCCCCAACGCTCCAGGACCTGAGTCCTCAGAAGTTTGAAGAAACACGCGTACACGGCTTGTCAAGGGGAGGCGGAAAGCAAAAGCAAACTCTGCGGCCTGGGGCCTGGCCAGGCCTGTGGGCTTGTGAGCAAGGTCTCAACAACAAACTACCACAGCTAATCACAGCTACCAGCAGCTACCAGTATCTTCCGCAGACCAGAAAAGACGTGTCTTCGCGAAATCACATCCCTCCCGAGTCGAGTCCTGGTGCCTTGCTTTCCATTCGTCTCGGGCTCGTTCCAGGTCATCCTTCCGGGAAGTGCCGTGCGGCACGGCCGGCATGGCCGGTGGCACCCGGCAGAACATCAGCATTGCAGCATTGTTATAGGTCTGATCAAGAAGCCACGCAAAACAAGCTGGAAAGGTGCTGAAAAAGCCAGGCAATTGTCGGCACACCAAAACCTAGAGGTGAGGCTGATCGCCAATGGCACTATGTAAAACACCGTTCGGTCCTTGCGAAGAAGCTGAATAATCGGCCACGGCGCCTCGGAGCCGAAAGGCGAGACCCCTTGCGCCTCGCCGTCCGAAGAACCCAGCTTGACACCGAGTCGCACGTGTAGTGTAGTGACCTAGGTCCGGTCAAGAGCGGCCAGCAGGTTGAAACTGTGCCTGTCTATACGATGTTCTCGAGTCCAATCCTCCAATCCCTGCGACGGGCCACCGGCATCCAGCGGACTTGCGCGGCACCCGGGCCCCTGGTCCTGAGCTGCCACGGCACGCACAAGACGGGGCGACAGGGACAAGCCCATGAATACCTCGCGAAGCGGATGGAAGGCCAGCAACTCCAAGTTATCCTCTGCACATGTGCCCGCAGTATCTGGCAGCTCAGCAGTGACAGATAGTGACAGCGACTCAATGAGACTTCTTCTTGCTGCTGCTCAAGTCCTCCGAGGCGACCGCTGCGCACCTTCGTCCAGAATTCCAATCGGTTTCAATTCATTCTGTGAGTGATGCACGCAGCACAATACAGGGTGTCTGCCCATGCTTCGCAATGAACCCGTGACGTGATACAAAGCATGAACCATTCGCCAGGGCTTCTTCTTCTTCGTCGAGCTCTGTCTGCGCTTTAATGGCTCCCTTGACGCCAGAGCATCCAGCTGGTCTTTGTTTATGGCAAGATTCGCCAATGCACCTAGCCTCTTCTGGCATACCATCCCAAGCCGAAGAACATGCAGGCCAACACACAAACAAGCTTGAGCTTGAGTAAACCGACTTGACATCTGTCATGACCCTCAGCTTTGGTGGAGAAAGTAGCTCTGGTGTGCGTGGAGACACCTTCTTCCGGTTCCCATGTTCTTCCAATGCGCACACGTGTGCAGGAAGCTCCATACCGAATGTAATCCTCTTCCGTTGGCATTGCGGGCTTCCGTCGCTCAACAATCCACACTCGCTGGCGTGTGGAGCGGTTCGGGCATTTTAGAGCATTGCTGAATCCCCGTTCAACCTGTCCGCCCCGGACCCTGACGACGATCAGTTTAGGGCTGCGTTCATCGCCCCTGCACCGCGCACCGCCTTTGTCATCCCACATGCTTGGTGTCATGTAACTCATTAATAGGGTTCAGAGTTTCGTTCAGGGTTTAGAACCCTTTTTTTTCCTAAGCCCTGAACAGCCGAGGCCGCTGACCTTTCGCATGGGCGCCCGACGGCCGAGCGTCCCGAGGGTCACAGTTTCCTAATCCGAAAAGCAACGAATTTTGGCAGGGCCCCCCTGGGGTTTGGGAGGCCTTCACACACGAGCAGCTAAACCCATAGTTGGTCAGCAACTGCCAGCGTAACAGTATCACAAGCAAGCTTGCAGAAGCTCTGAGCCAGGTGCTCTCGCCAAAGCCTTCCGAAGTGCTTCAGCCCAGACCTTCCGGAGAAGCCCTGGACAGGGAACACCAGTGCCAGCGTGCCAGCGTGACATCCTGCTCAGCGCTTTCTTCGATCCTCATGGGAGAAGACTGTGAGCGTGGTGGGCGCCGATGTGGCGTTGTCGCTTGCCATCCAAGCCAGCAGCTTGTGCCCTGAACTCCACATACCGCTGGCCACACGTCCTAAGGCCCTCAAAATTCTTGGTTTTGCCAAGTCGCCAAGAACGTCGCCCATGCACAGCTCCCAGGATTTGGGACCATGCAAGCAGTGTCGGATTTGTGCCTGGGGCTTTTGGGCAGCTCCAAAAACGAGAACCCATGAGCCATGCCTGCCTCTGCCCCGAGTGCCCACGGGCAGAGCCCTTCGCCGGCCACAAACTCCCGTATCCAAGCTTGGGTACTCACAATCACCTCGGAGCCACGAGCCACGGCTCCGCTCGGAGGACAGCACTGCCTTCTACTTCTTGAACCGCCGTGAGCACCCTGCGCAGAACTTTTTGCTTGCTGTGTGGCTCCGTCTCTGCACGCCGAACCGCCAGCCACTGCAGCTCGACAGCGAACTGCGAGCCCAGCCAGAGACCTCCCGGCTACGTGTCGTCACGGAGATGAAGCATTGCCCGTACTGAAGCTCGGAGGAAGCGCCAGCATGCATCGGCAATGTGCGACCATTCAGATGCAAGACTTTGTCATGTGTTTCCACCTGGCCTTTTTTGGCCTGACGCGGGCACTGCTGGCGCGAGGCTGCTGAGTGCACTTAGGAAGGCTCGCGACAAACGTTCTGCCTTAGCCATTCACAACATCGCAGGTCTACGACTCAGATCTGCTGTCTCCGCACGTTACGCTAATGCAGGGCCGCACTCGCACAAACCTCTATCGAGGAGCTTCATTCCGGGTGCAGGCTGCCAGAATTCCAATCATCCTCGGCAGGGACGCTTTCCCTCTTTGCCTTGCCCGGGGCCCCAGCCGCAGCCACGGCTGACATGAAGACTCTGCCAAGAAACAGGGGCGTGACCAGCCGGCGGGCTCTTCGTCTCCGCATGGCTTGTCAAGGCCCAAGGCCCTTTAAATTTTTCTTGGGTCCTGTACTAATTAAAATTAGTACAAAGTCCAAGGTTGCGGGCTTCGCTGCTTCGCTGAGCCAAGTGCTGTTTCGGATGTTGTTGGGTGACCGTGCAGACGGTTGCTGCGCAAATCTCGACCTACAGCTGCCTTCGTTGGGTCAGGGGGTCAGCTCAAGCCACGCTTGCTCAAAAAACAATGCGGAAGATTGTTCAAGCCATGGAAGACGTGGAAAACAATATGCTTTCGAACTGGCCTAGCATCGGAGTCAAGATCGAAGCTAGGGACAGCCAGGTACCCGAGGCCAGATCCCAAACCCCAAGCAAAGAGGCGGCCGGGCTCCATCAGGGCCGCACCTGGGCAAAGCAACGGCAAACTGGCTCGGCTGGGCTTGGGGGAGCCTCACTAGCTGACTAGCTCATGAGCGTTCATCGAGCATGCTGCAGCACACAACTGAGGAGGCGTTCTGCAGACATGTCCAAGTTTCAGCATATGAAATGAAGTGAAAGGTTTCGGACAACCGAGAAAATCATCATCATGGTTTTGCATGTGACCAATCCAGCTGTGCTCTTGCACCCAGGAACTGGTCGCAGGTACGTTTACCTGTCCATGTGACAAAGAGCTTCGTTGGCGCGAGCTTTGTCACCAGACCTCGCGCCCCCTGCAAACTGAAGAAAAAAAGACATAAAAGAAAGAAAGAAAACCAGGAAAAAAGCAAGCAAGAAAAACAAGGAGTATCCAAAGGCCAAAGCATGCAGCGAAAAAAGTCTTCAGAAAGGAAACCATGAGGAAAGCGGACATGTAAGTGCAGATTTGTCGCATGTACAGCAGAATAACACAAACAGGCCCCCGAAGGGGCCCAGAAGCCTCAGGATGCACGTTTTTATCGCGACTGTTCCCGGTCATCAGAGCAGCAAAAAGCCTAATCAAGTCTACGCTTCTTCCTCGTTCGCTCATTGCGGTCATTGACCTGGTGGTAATAGCATCGGCAGTGATTGTGACCTTCGTCTGCTCGCGCACAAACACGACCACAGTCCGGGTAAGAGCAAATTCCGGAGCATTGTGACTTCCTTTGTTGAAAATCCGGAGAGTCACGTAGGATTTCGACAACGCGAAGCATCAACCGAATGAGGTCTTGCGGGTGAACATGACTGGAACGAAGATTATCAAGGGCATCGTCAGCTGCTGTTTGTACAACGTCTTCCAAATAGTCATCGCTGGCTCGCCTCGACCCTGGTTCATAACGAAGAATACGACGGCCACTGGACGACATGATTGGTCACTGAGACACCTATAAGCTTGAGCATTGCAATGCAACACAGCAAAAGACAGTACATGGACCAACATGTCTGAACCTGCATGACAAAGCAAAGCAGTTATTCTTATGTCGCATCATCCAGTCAGGTCCGAGTCATACCTACACTTTACAGTGGATGAACAATGCGACGAACATTGAGATCATCGATGAAAGCAGATCCAATACGCAGTCGGTCTTCATTGGAATGATGAATCCATTCCACCGTTGCATGGCGTACTTGGGCAAGACGCCAAAGCTGTTGAATATTGAAGAAGGTACGATCGCCAACCAATCGAATAATGGAATAATACCATTCTTTGCATACAGACGCGAGCACCACAATGTGAGGTAAAGCTGGAGCTTCACAAGTGATCGGCGTGTATACACTGGGTCCTTGCATGAAGAACTCCCACACTTCAGCACGAAGATTCATACCCTCTGTTCTGCATTGTGTAACGAACTGCTCAAGATCATACATCGTATGGAATCCATGTCTGCGTAAAGTAACATCCAAAGTCCCAAGCGCATCTAATGGCGGAAAAGTGAAGAAGAAGATAATATGACGTCGTGTGCTGATGAAGGTCAGCACTTTATCAGTCAAAACAGTAAGTTCCCACATGGCGTCAGAGGGATTCCTACAACACACAGAAGCACTACGAGAAGGTTCGGGCTAACGTCCTGCGGTGGAAAATGGTCAAACTTTTTGAATGCAAGTGCATCGAAAGCTTAAGAGCACGCAGAACGAGACACACCGTTTGCTCCCTTGACCAGCATACTTCTCAAGTCCACCACACTGATTCGTGTGGCCATGTTCTCACAAAATGAACAGCCTGGGTGGTATGCGGAAAAGCAGCAACTCGAGAAATCGATGATGTAAACGGCAAATGTTGGCCGAATTGCCGTAATTGGAAAGCATTCAAACGAGGTGGAATCCCCGTGCGTTCCGCGAGCTCATCGCACACCTTCTTCTTCAGATCATCAATTGTAGAATCTGTTGGGATCGATAGCCGATAGCCAAAAACCCATCTCTCGTCCGCCAGAGCATATATCTGGAGGTACAACAACTGGAATCCTGACCATCGGAGCTGGGGCCGGAAGGGCCGCCATACTTGCTGTCCGCTTCATCTTACAAATTGAGCCTTAAGAGACTTCGTAGCTTCATGCTAACAGGATGCACAACCAAAACTGACCGTACAAAAGGTTGCAAGCAGGCAAAGGGCATCAATTTTATCGAGCACAGACAGCAATCTTACCGAACATGACGAGAGCCACCAGGTGAAACAGTTGTACTTGATCTTGATCTAGACCGCGAACGAGATCTCTCACGAACTTCCGATTCACTCATGGATCTATTTCTTCGAGCATCAGTACCACTCTGTTGCCGTCGGCGAGGTAATGCATCACGCTGATGAGGGTCCGTCGGGGAGAGAGTGGATCCATCTGTCATTGTCGGTGCAACATCACTCGAATCGGCTCCATGAGAAACATCTAAAGGAGAAGGAGACGGAGAAAACGGAAAACGAACAGGAACAGAAGAAGAAACAGGAGGGGGAGGAGGAAAAACAGGAGGAGGGGGAGGAGGGGGAGGAGGGGGAGGAGGAGAGGAAACAAGAAGAGAAGACAAAGAAGGCAGAGAGGGAGTCAGAGAGGCAGAATGGGAGGACGTGCCGAGATGTTGCGAAACAAGGGTATCAGCATCATACTGAATACGGCGTCGAAGATGAGAAAGAAGCACTTCTCTCTGCCGGCGATCTCCCAAAATCTGAAAAAGAGCCTTGACTTGTTCTCCATCCAGACTGCTGATTATGTCATTGCAGCTCAGCAAAGAGCCGGACATTGATACGTTGGAGGCGGTGCACAATAGCTTGAACCAACATCTGCCAAAACTCACATTCTTGCACCTACATGCGCACAAGTAAACAGAACATCAGCTGACAATTTTTCTGAACTCACGGCAACCTATATGACTCTAACATGCGGAGCAGGAAACTCGCACGCCGAAAACGTAACTTGGTGAAGTTGGCACCAACATGTCTCAATGCCCATGAGCTGGTATGTACATGAAGGCTTCAGTCGAGAACCATGGCAAACTCGTAATCGCATCAGGAACTTGATATGTCGCAGTGTCAGAATGCGGCACTGCATAGAAATGCACAGAAACGATTCGCTGCATCGTGGAAGAAGGTGTGTAAAATTGAATGTGGCAGAATCATTGGACAGCCCATGGTAATTGTGTGCTCGGAAACATCGGCCCATCCCATGTATCAACCATCTGTGCCACTGAGCGAATTGCTGACTTCGACAATAATCAGGATTGTCACATCTCTGTGTGCTGACATGCACACTGCTGCATACCATAAGAAAGGAGAAAATGCAGTATCGGGGCGCCTCTTCCTTCCAAACATCAAGAAACTGGCACATGGTCATTGGCTATTGAGTAGTGGATCATACCTCTTGAGCACATGTATCAAGAGCAAGTGGGAAACAGTGCATGACAGCCGATGCGAGCACAATAAGCATACACCAAGGAAGTCTTTATTATGCGTCCCATGACATGTCACTCGAACATTGATCATCTGAAGCGTCGGCATCGAGAACAGAGGGGGACACGACGAAAGAAGAACAAGAGGACCAGAGAGAGGAGGACCAGGACCAAGACCGCGAAGAGGAAGGACGGGAGAGAAGGGAAGACACAGGGGGAAGACCGAAAGAAGCAGACGAAGAGACCAGGGAAGCAACAGAGGAAGCAGGAGAAAGGGGAAGCAGCGGGGGACGAGCAGACGGACGAGGAGGAACAGACAAAGGAGAGGAAGAAGAAGAAGAAGAAGAGGAAGGAACCACCGGAGACAAGGAAAGACCGGACGGGAAGAAAGGAAACGCAGACAAAGGCAGAAGAGGGGAAGAGGAAAGAGAACCACAAGCGACAGACAAGGGAAGGGAGGAGCAGACAGGAACACGGAGACCAAGAAAACGAGCAAAAGGAAGACACGACGCATGGGGTGAAACTGGAACATGTTGCTTAACACAGAAAAGAACCATCATGATGCGATTTCCAGCAAGGGCATGGTGGCATGAATCACATTCCCATCAAAGCAGCATGGTTGTCTGACATCCAAGAGTCTGCCTTGTAACTGGTCACCATAGGACGCAACAGTGCTATTGGAATCGGCAACTGTATATGTAGTGCGACCTCGATCATCCATGACGAATAATTCTCCACCTGTCCAATCTCCAATGGCCCAACCAATACTTGGGCCGTGGTTGTTTGAATCTCTGTGCGGAATAGTCCGAACATTGCGATTGATCTGAATACTTGTGAAAGCCAAATCTGAGAATTGGGGAGAACAATGTAGCATTCGAACGATCAACTTTGTAAGTCCAGGGAATCGGAATGTGTTCTTTGTAAATTGCAGCCTTCCTCGAGACTGCACCCCAGAATACAAGCCAAGCAAGAGCTGATCTGCATGAATTTGGTCTGTAGATCGAACCTTCTTCCGACTGTAATTCATCCAAATCCGTCGGGGGATACCATCAAGAACATGAGATAATTGTGCAGCCAGTTCATCCAATGACTGAAAATGAAATCCATCCGCATCTACATCAAATGGGCTGCGATCTATGGTCGGCATGCTATCATGTTACTGAGCAAAAATCATCAGTCACATGTAAGGCGAATCAAAGAACACTGCGATGCACTGGCAACATGAGGCAGCAAACCCTAGCATCCATGTTATTTAGTTTTGAATCATGCGGTCCACGGCGGAGTGCAACACTCAGAATGTGGGCAAGCGATTGATCTCATTCACTCTGAAAGTAGGAAGAAATCAAGCGAAGACAGAAGTAAACCATGGAATAGAAACATTCACTTATGCATCACGTGCCCACGATGTCCAAAAGACAGCAGTGCCTGCTAGGACACTCCGACTTGAACGAAACATCCAACGACCATCCTGGCCATGAATCAAATCGCCGAAATGCCCGAATGTTTGATCGGAGGCGTTAACAGCCTTGAAATGAGCATGTTGCCTCACAAAGGTCCATCCTAGCGCCGCACATGTG